TCTACTCCAACAGGTCACATCAGGAAGATCTATTTACTGTTGACAGTATTTGGAACTCTGCATTTGGAATGCAATGTTATTTCTGCATGAAGAGTTCACAGCCCACTGGCAAGGTCATTGAAATTAGCACATGCATGTTTATTTGAGAAATTTAAGCATTGATATTCATTCATTTGTACAAATTTGAGTTTTTTATATAAAATACTTTTTTGTGCTTCTTAAATCTTTGTTTCTTAGTAATAAAAATATAGTGGATCACTGGCATTGGTAGAGATCTTGTAATGTAGAGAACAACATATAATGCAGCAACAATAATAGGCTCAATATAAAGCAACAGGGACAAATATTATACAAAATTTAAAAAATTTCAATTTCCATTGCTGGAACAAGAAATCCTCTTTACAGTCAAGATTAATTTAGCTCAGTTTTTCATAGCATGAATAACCTACTTTGACAGGTAAATGAAATATCAATAGATTAAGTGACTATTACAAATCATCAATGAATTTGCCAGGCTAGTAGATCTACTGATAATTTAGTTAATTGCATTAAAAGTTTACAAGGATGAATTAATTGCCAAGTGAGTCTTTATGTACATGGAAGAAGTACATTTAAAGTGCATTTGTAAAACCACTGACGTGACACCAGACATTAATATGATTACTTTTATTTCAGATGCTTCAGACTAGGCTGTTTTCACACTACAAGAGAAAGCAGCAAATGAAAAGGCAAACACATATAGCAACAACACCCATGTCTCACAAAGGAATAGAGTAAGCCAGAGGCCAATGAGGAGCTACAGAAATAAACCAGAGAAGAGATCCAGAATGGATTTTTAAATCCAAGAAGTATGTTCTAATATGAATAGCTTTTTTTTTTGAGGATGCAGTGACATAACAGCACAGGAATAACATATTACTTAAAATGGACTCAAATCATCATTTGAGAAGGCCATGTGGAAGAGAAAAACAGAATGACACAAACTGAAAGTATTGATGTCAGTTCAAAAAAGCACATCTTAAAGATGCATGAAATGCTGCACAGGCAGGAAAAAAAAAATCAAACCATGAATTTTGAGTTGAGTAGATATTTTTTTTTTGTGATGGTAATTTCCTTTTAAAAAGAAAATATAGTTATCCCAGTATCAAAATTAGGATGGCTGCAGTTCATCCTGGAGGGTATTGCATAGCTAGAAAGTTTGGAATAGGATGGGATACTGAAGTACTGAAACTACCAACTCCTAGAAAAGTTTGTAACTATTTATTATTAGATCTAAAATATTAACTTTTCATTTTGTGAGAATGCGTTATTTCAACTTTTCATCTCAATTTATAAAATATCAAAATGCTAAAATATTTTAATTTTCCAAAGGATAATAATTCTGAGTGGATTCCTGTAGGTTTTTTATGTTTGTTGTTTAAAGAAAGGGGGTGAAAACATTGGGGATTAAAATAGTACCTGTATGTACAGAAGAGAAGCAAAAGAAACCACTAGTAGGTATGTGGATGCAAAGTCATGCTTGAGGATGTTTTTCCTCCTCAAAAGTAGATCATATGTCTTCAAATATTTATGAAAAAAAAAAAAATCTGACAGAACTCCAATTTCCCACACCACAGGAAGAAAATGTGGAGACATTACAGATGATGTAATACCTACAGTTTGAACAAAGGAGACATTTTTCTTTGGCAACAGGAAGAAATAAGAACACAAGTCAAATTCCACTTTCACTTCTGTTTTTGTGCCCCTTCAAGGCTACTTGGGCCCCTCAAGACCATAAGAGCACAGCACCAAGCACAGCAAGCAAGAATTCCCATCCACCCAACTATTTCTCTCTGTGAAGGCTCTGATGCATAGCCATGCTAACCAACTGAGCTATACTGAAAGCAGGACAGGGAATCTGTTTGTGACATATGCAAAAGAAAATCTGCTGTGCAACTGTATATTGGCAAGCTTGACCTGCATTGCCTTTGCAGTTAAGACTTACTTCTCTTCATGGGTTATCTGCTAGAACTGCACCCAAGTACACTGTGCTAATTTTCTCTACTAGGAAAAATAACACAGTTCTTGGAATCCAAGCACAGCACTATTTTCACTCATTTATTTGCCTCCAATTTATAATTTACTCATTTAATTACAGAAATAATTAAGCTGGAGTATTTAACATAAGCATTTCCACAGATACCCACTCCTACCCACTGAAATTGTACCAGAGGCTATGCAGGGAACCCATACCTGTAATAACGGACTGTCTACATTACATAGCCAAATCCTACACCCAAAAGAAAACACAGTGGACATTCTCTCCCATATTTTTATGGCAACTGCCTGCTTTCCCAGACAACCGACATCCTGTGCAGTCTCTACAACACAATCTCTGTCATATCTGAACACTGAAATAACTGTATTTGCAAAAAACTGCATATATTGAATTATCTTTCCAGAATTAGCTTAGATTTCAGTATCTGAAATCTGGTAACTCTACAATTACTCAGAAAGGCTGCAGATTCTTTATTATCTGTACACATTTATATTTTACCTAATGCTAACTCTGGTTAAATGAAACTATTGATATCACTAGCAGAAAGTATAATTTTGAATTTGCTTTTTTTACTAGGACTAAAATAATATAGGACAATGAATTAACCATAGTTGCTTGTATCAATAAAGTCTACAGACTGTTTACAGCATAACGGAGATGTGTCACCATAAGAAACACTGACATAAAACAGAAAAGAACAAGCTACAGGAAAGCCTTTCAACTTAGTACAAAGGAAGGAAAAATAATAATGAATGACATTTTTTTCCTCCTTTATAGCTTGCTGGCTAAAATATATCAAAGCTTGAACTCCCCCAAAAATCCAAGAAAAATTCTCATGATATATGCTGGGCCATATTTAAGGAAGCTGATTGAGCAAAATATAATAAATACAGTAAAAAAAAAAAAACAAAAAAAAAAACAAACAAACACAGTAACATGAGAAGACAGAGGTTGAGGACCTGTGTATGCTGGACCATTTTGAGAAAGATGCTTGCTATGTATTACTGTACTGAATATGTCAGGCTTGTTATTCTTTTTCTAGTCACATTTCCTGGGTGGTGAATTACAGAAAATCAGCATCTAATACAATTCACCTTCCTCGCTTCAAATCAGTGTTTTTTTCTACTGGCATTCAAGGTTAGCAAATGCACCAGCTATGGGTACAGTTTTACTTCAAAAAGATAAAGCAAAAGTAGAATTTTCAAAGTGGAGAAAACAAAGGAATGTTGGATTTTGTAGGTTATCCTCGCTGATGAGCTCTATGAAGGCACTAAGCATTGCATTTAGTGAAATAACAGTGCCCTCTAGTGCCTTCAGTAAGCACTTTCTTCAAACTTTTTTTTCCCTTAAATAAAGCAACGTATCAAACCACATTCATTTTGAAAAAGACGTAGAATAAAATGATTGTGTTAACTTAGTTATCAGTTCTTAACAGGATTGTTTTTCCTACTCATGTCTAATTAATATACTGGGAAAAAAAACCCCAAACAGATTAAATACATATGCATAAGTAGTACTTACTGCAAAAAATGAAAGGGTAAGGTGGATGCTTTCTCTAAAACATCAAAAATACCATTTAAAATATTACATCAGCTCAATAAAAATTGACTATATTTGCAAGAATGCAAAAATGAGAAAGAACATGGCACAAATTGCAAATACAATTTTGAGAATGGAGCAAAAACCATCCAAAAAGCTTTAATTTAGAAGACAAGCAGTTCTGATAGACACTTATTGAAGATTATGCCATATCAAGATACAGTTTTCACAGTCTTTCTTACAATCTTAATAGCACTTTCAAGTGAAGCAAACATGTAAAATCTCAGAAAATCCAGAATAATTGTGAAGGTCAGCTCATTATCTGTAACTCAGAGATAGTTAAAAGAAAATCCAGCAAGGAATAAGCTCTAATGGAATATTAATATCTACTTTGAACATCCTGGTGTCTGAAATATTAAATTTTCTTTATCTGTTATGAAATTTTGTTTTTCCTAACCAGAACTTTTATAAAAACTGTTAAAATACACAATAATGTTTTCACATGACCAGAACATATTTTCTTATGGCTGATTAGATAGGAAGTGTTGAAAAAGTATCCTTATACATCCTTTTAAAAAAGATATTTTCCTCTGATGCAAATCAGCTTTTCAGAAGCCCATCCTTACAACTAATTACTATTACTTACAAATATACATATGTATCAGTTTGGTTTATAAAAAAAGGGATCACAAGAACCTAGCTACACCTACAAAATGTAGGTCGAGACCTATAGAACAAAGCTTACCCCACCCTGTAACTGAAATTAAACCACATTACATATTTAGGTGAGTATATGTTTATGATTCAATACATCTAGCTACTTGAATTTATAAATGAATTCATTGGAGGACTGCCACATAAAATCTTACTTACAAGATATTTTGTGATATCAAAATACTGCATAGTATTTATTTTCCCAACAAAACAGCTTTTATATGGAATACTGAACAGTAGTGAACAGGTCAAAACATTCCCCAGTTCTCTAACATAACAATCACCAGTTCTGCAAAGGCTTTGAAGTCATACTGTAAATCTTGAGCTGTGGTTTCTGCATGCCATTTACATAACTTATGTTCATGTAAAAATCAATCCTTTCTCATAGACATTTTAGATCTCCTTTAGTTCCCCAATTATCTTTGGTATATATGGGTCACTCTGTGTTCTTAACATTTCCTACTTTTCCTCCCCCCCCCGTAGCATTTTCACACATTTAAAGTAGTACCTGCCTGTGCAGAACTACTACTAAACTCACATTGTCAGGCTAACATAAAGAAGATGTAATATCTTGTGATCGTATTAATTATAAAATAAAACATTTCATATAGTATTACAAAATTATACTGTATTCTATATACATTATTTATTCAGGTTATCATTCTATAATAACTCTCACTGTAGGTTATACAGGAATTACTGTACTTACTTTTGAGATCTAAATTTCTGGCTCCTGCTGTGCTCTGTGTTGTGATTTTAGTGTCAATCTTTACAGTGTGGAGATTGTTGGTATCCCTTGATATCATCACATTATGCCACTGATTGTCATTCAGAGGTTTATTAGAACTTCCTTTGATGAGATTTGCACCATTTCCCAAGTCAAACACATAGTGTAAATATCTATGAAAAAAGAAAAAAATTGGAAAAGTTTCCTTTTTCTTTACATAGCAAGGGGGCACTAATTAATATGTCTAATATTTCCTATTTCCTTGTACTCCTCAGTAGTGCTGGTAAAACTGGAAGACAAGAATGAATGCCAAATGAAGAGGCAACCTTAATTTAGAGAAATCAACATTTGTTTATATGAGCCAAGACGCAGTCCCAAGTTTGTGGAAAGTAACAAGCACTCCATGTACTGACACATGCGTACATACATAGAGAGAAACAAGAGGAAGGCTACAAACTAGTAATTCTTTGTGATAAACACTACAGCAGTTATATCTATTATTTACTTTTTGTATTTTTTAAGCACCTAGCTTCATCTGAAGGAAAAAGTCACAGTAAAGTATATGAAGTTTAACATGAAGAAATATTAATCAATCATATCTGTCCAGTCAGATAAAGATTTGTATCCTAAACTTTCCTTTGTATGTCTCCTGTATAAACATTTTGATCAGACTGGTTTTGTCACTATGCTAATCCATACATACCCTTTTACTAATTCAACCACAATGAAATCATTCCCATCGCCACTGTTATAAAGTATCAATCCATCCAGAGAGGTTGTTTTGAACTGGAAAAAAAGGTGCATAGATGTATATGCTTGTAGCGTGGCCAATGCAACATAACTTGCTTTTGTTTTAAAGGTTACAGGGTCTGCTATGATGTTCCTGAACCCAAATCTCGCATTTAGCTCACAATAATCGATGTCTCCATTTTTACATAAATCAATGTATGCCATGCCATTAAATGTAAGACTTTGCAGATGCCCAATGAAATTAGAAGGCACAGAAGACAGGTAGCGCCGTTCAGTTATTATTCCTGTTTCTATGTTGTGGAATTCCAGTCGTGTGTGATCACCAGCCATTTGACCTTTAAACAGTAACAAGAAAACACATATTAGCATCTGAAATGGGAGATCAAAAAGCACATCATGTGATTAAGTATCTGCATTAATTTCAGACTTGTCAGAATGCACAAGGCCAATTCTTGGCTCCAAAGACGATTCTTCTAAATTCATCAACTACTGGTAAACATCTGGGAGCCTTTCCACTGAGTTCAGAATGTTTGGATAAGTCCAACAGCAAGATTTCTAAACAGAAGCACAATACCACAGTATATCAAACTGCTAATGAAAGCCCTCATTTTGACTATGCTTAACCGGACGTGGTTTTAGTATAAGCAAGTACAATTAATTATCACAACATGAAGAATACAAAAGCAAATCTCAGAGCTAGAACTACAATGTTCGAGTTTCATGAAAGACAAGCAAAAGTGTTTGGGATATTGCTCTATGTTTTTTGCTTAAAAGTGCATGATTTGGCAAGAGGAAAGAAGAATTCTCATTTAAGCCATTTTAGGTACATTAATACTGGCCCTGCTGCAAAAACCTGGGCTGCAAGGGTGGACAGAGCCTTCCTTGAAAGCAAGTAGCTTTGTACTGCAGGGATAAACCATGGGAGAAAGGGACAGAGCCCAAGAGAGTGACAAAGTAGAAAGCCTACAGCAAGGGTGCATGCCAGTGTCTTGCAATCCTGAAAATAGCAAGGGAAATGATCACATCAGAAAGGTGGCCAAAACCAAGCCTCACAGCTACTTTTGAGTCTTTCTTCCAAGGACACCTGCTCAGCAGAAAGCCTGAAATTTGCTGACTGTAGAGCTAATCTGAAGGAAAAGATGAACGCTGCCAGGGTACACTGCATACAGGTCAGGTAAGTTTTTAAGCTAGTTATTAAATACCTTACTCTGCACATCAAAAATGTGTCCACCGAAGAGTTCTCTTTTCTGACAGAGCTTAGATTTTTTTTTTTTTTTCACCATGCTTATTTTAAAGAAGTAGGGCAGTACTATCACAAGGCTGATTCACAGTCACATTGTGTGGGTATGATAAAACAGCTTTTTATCACTAATCAGTTTTACCACTTAATCTACCTTTTGCAAACCACAGACTAGATTTCTCAGTTCCTTGGATGTTTCGTGTCTCTCCTGGAGTACAAAGAAGGTGAACAGTAGACCCAACCAAGCTGGAATAAACACTGGCATAAAACTGTTCTATAATAGAAGTTTCCACAGTTGCAATGCAAAGGTGTTGACAGGTTGAGTTCCCTCTGTCCTTCCCTGAACATCATATTCCAAGAGGAGAGTATGAGCTCTGACCCAGGCTGGACATGCTTAGTGATGTGCATAGTCCTGAGGCAGGCTGTACCTTCATAGGTTTTATAAGCAAGTGTCCATGCACACATGTGTGAACACGGAAAGGATAAGGGCAAAATGAATGTAGACATTTGGGCTTTGGCCAGGGAGGTGGATTCCCAAATGGGTCAGGTCACAGCACAGAGATACAAATACAAGTATGAGCGAAGTTACTGTGAAAATAGGTCTGCACGCTTTAATACAATTACAAAACAAAACAAAACAAA